TCTATCTTTTTCTTGGTTGCATTTTTTAGCGCAAATACTCTCAAACATAGATTACATTAGCACTTGTACATACGCACGTGTATATATGACATACACAAACATACAAACTACGGTACAACGCAACACACACACAAACACACAAATACGAACGAGCATTTATTAGCAGTTATGCTTCTTGTCCTCATCTTTTCTTACATCCTAACTTTTTATTAGTTTAGGTAGGTAGGAGTAAAATAGGTGAGTCTTGGCTAAAGTTTAAGTTAAGTTTTACAAACGATGACGAAATGAATTTCTATGAAATGATTATTTTTTCATTTTATATGCGCTGAAGCTATGGGTCACTATCGACCCATGCTATGTAATAGTGTCTGTTAAATATGTTACTCACTTAATGGTTAACAGAATTTATGTACGTATGCATGTTTGTTTGTATGATTGTTTGTTTGTTTGTATGTATGTTTGTTTTTATGTATGTATGTTAGTTTGTATATATGTATGTTTGTTTGTATATATGTTTGTTAGTATATATGTTTGTTAGTATATATGTTTGTTTGTATGTATGTTTGTTTGTTAGTATGTATGTTTGTTTGTATACGTTTGTTTATGTATGTATGTAAGCTTAGTGTACAAGTGCAAAGAAAATGTAATAATGATGTCACGCTTTCTCGCTTGCCTAACAAATTAATGAAAACTATTATCGGCTTTCATAATTTTTTCACCAAACATATTTTTGAACAAAAAATTGAGCGACTGGATTCATTGAAATAGATGCAAATAAATTAGAATAAAACGTAAATAAATTGAAATTGTTAAATTATCATCATCAAACAACAACAGCAACAGTGCAACAACAACAATGACGTCATCAGCATCATCGTCAACATTAACAATTCGCTAAGATGTTGTCTGTTTAGTTTGTTCAGTGCTGCTGTGTTACTTTTGCGAGATAAAGTTGTAATCATTAATTTAATTTCATAGGTAGTTAAGGGCAATAATGTATTGATCTGAACAATCTTGTAATGTAAATTAAATGTTGTAAGTGTATCGATAGGTTGGTTAATTATTAAGTTTAAATTATTATTACTAGGTTGGAGCCCAAGGCATTATGTAGGTGGGGCCGATTGGCGAATGAATTGGGCTCTTGAGTTTTGTAGTTGTAGGTAAGCTAGGGCGTAATTGTAATGAATAGGTAGGTTGAGGTTTAGAAGTTATTAGCTAATGCACCTGAATAGGTAGATAGGATTATTTATATAACTAATTTGAGACGCGTGCACTTTTTTTTATCCCCCTCATGAACCGCTGCCTTGACGTGGCGAGGGGGCTTCTCACTAAATGCGCTTTTCAGTTTTTTAATCTTTTTATTTAGAAAGTTTTATAATAATTCAAGCGTACGCACATACACAAAATACAAACACATACATACATAAGTTAAAAAACATACGTACATACGTACGTACATACAAACAAATACATGCAATACAAAATACAAAGATGATACGAACATGATACAAACAAATAGGAACATGATAGGCGCTTTTTCAATTAAATGAGTTGTAATAAATAGAGGACCTTATAATTATATATACACATATAAATATTGAAACATGTTGCATAACACACACATACAAGCCAGACCAACATTTCAATCGATTTTTTTGTAAAATACATTAGCATATAACAATTCTAACAAGTAAACAAATATACAAACAATAAAAAGCAGATACAACAACACATACAAACACACATACAAATAAACATACAAACATACAGTATATAATTAAAAATATCATTTAGCATAGTACATACACATTGTACATACACTAACACACGGCACATATACGCTGCACACATACACACACATCGTACGTACAGTTACATAAAGACAAACACAAACAAAACAGCTAAGGTTTCATTTCAACTTGTTTAAGATAAAAATGTTAGAGAAAGCCCAACACCAACAACTTGTTACAATACAAACCATCCAACCTCTGATAACAAATTTCAGAGATTTCTAGAGAAACAAAAAAATCCTCACCTCAGACGGATCAATTGTTATCCAGATGACGTTAACTCGATTGCAACGACACAACAACAGCAAGTGTTGCAGCAACAAACAACAACAATAATAACACAAAAGTATATTTTTAAATTATCTTTACAATCTGAATTACTTTTATTATAAATTATATATCGGTTAATAGATGATAGATTTGTGTTTGATTAAACATTGCCTCAGATGTTTGGTTACACGTCGTCTCGGTTATTTTTCTTCATCCAAAACGTTACGTTTTACAAAATAACTTTTAGTACCTGTTCGATTTTTGGTATTAAATTAACTTTTAGTCTGACGTCATTTTTTAAAAATTAGTTTGTAGTTGGGGTCTATTTACACAGGCGTGAATTTGAAAAATAAAAAGTCAAACGATAAGATGAATGATTATTTTTTCTAAGTTTTTATTACTATCAACGACATCTTCCAATTCTGCGACATAATTTTAAAGTTATGAAATAATTAATTTAAATTTCAGTTTAATTGACAAATGTTTATTCAAGATAACAATGATATAAAAAAATAGTTGAACAAACAAACAAACAAACAAACATATAGACCAACAAATAAAACAAACAAATAAATAAATAAATAAGAAACACAAATCTTGAATAAAGAAATGGAAGATAATAAAATCGATCGATCAATCAATTGGACGTCTGCAACAGTCTGCTATTGTTTCGTTCTACTGTAGAGATTTTATTAACATAGGCTGTTTACACATCAGGCTGATGATGACGACGACGACGATGATGACGTTGATAAAATGATGATGATGATAATAATGACGATGATGATGATGATGATATATATGTTGATTATAGTGTAGAGATGTTTACACGTTGTACGTTGTTATTAGCGGTAAAAAATACTACAGGCGATAATCAAGAGGTGACGAAGATGATGATAACAAATAAAGAAGATGATGATGATAAATGATGATGATGATGATAAATGATGATAATGATTTAATGTCGTATTTCAGTATAGAGAAGCTGCTAGCTAGGTAAGAATGTTTGTAGGTAGAATCATCAATCTGGGTTTAATACATAACAAATTTTTGAAATTAGAGGCCAAAATGGTTTTAATATTAAATTTAAACATAAAGAAACCACGAGAGAATAAAATATAAAGTCCAAGAAGGTGGCGAACTAAAAAAATGCGAGAAAATGATACGAATATAACGTCATTTATTCAGTAAAGCACGGTTTTACATTCAAAATTTCGCAGAATTTTGACGACGATGACTACGGCGAGGACGATGTTGGTGAAATGGAAACAGCATGAAAGCGATACAAGAGTATTACATAAATGATGATAGTTTGATTGGTTGAGAATGCTGATGATGATGATGATGGTGAAGAAAGGATCTTGAAATGATGATGACGACAAAATGACAAGCTAGGGTGGTGGTGTGGAAATGCAATGGTGATAATGATGCAAATTGATTGAGTAAGGATGATAATAATAATGGGGATGGTGACATATTCAGTTGAGAAAGAAAAATGGCGAAAAGCTGATGATATTGAAGATGATAACTTTATAAACAATTGAAAGGTCAACAACAAAACAATAATGACAACAACAGCAGCAGCAACAACAACAACGACAACAACAAAAGAACATCACGAACTGAAAGTTTAAAAATGCATTAGAAATCACCACAAAACAACGTCGTTAACAAAATAAAATCTGCTTTGTAACATTTTTAGTGCTATTTTTATTTGTTTGCCTGCAAATGAACCTATCAACAAAACATCACACGCACACACACATACACATGCTCACATACATACACACAAACATACACACAAACACTTAGACATAGATAGTTAAACATACATCAACACATAGACCTGCAAAGTAAATTATGATCTAAAAACCGCTTATAACTTATAAGCAATCATATAGTCCTAAAAATTTTGAAAAAAGTTTCTCACTTAGAGAAAAGAACATTAGAACTATAGAATGAATGCAATGCGTTAAAACGATTTTGGTAAAACAAAAAAAATCAATAAATCACTTGACCGAATATAAATAAAAAACCAATAAAGAAGTTAATGTGAACAAACAAAACAATATAGAACGCATTCACTGCAATACAAAAACGAAACAAAAACGTATGAGCACAAAAAAACATTCGGAAAATCCAACGCAATCTACACACATACATACACGCACGCACACGCACGCACGCACACAAACCACAAACACCTAATAAGACAAAAAACAGCTTACAACATGTTTCAAAAAAAAAATTTGAAATGCATAATAAAATAAATATCCGCTCGATAACACGAAAAACTCATACGACAACAAATAAATAATTAAAAACTTCCTCTTTCTCTCTCTTTTTTCATATATTATATATATATATATATAATATACGTATATACATATATGTTATATACAATATAATATATAAATTATATAACAATATAATGTAGTAGTAGTATTAAAACCATTTGTCACTATATACAAATTCTCCATATAAATTTAAGTTTAATAACAATTCACTTAATGTATCAACAGTTTTATAGAACCGCGAAAAATAAATAATAATGAAAGAAAATTTATATATATATATATATATATATATATATATATATATATATGTATATGAGTGTGTGTGTGTGTGTGTGTGTGTTTGTGTTTGTGTGTGTGTAATGTAGTAATAAGACGCTATAGTGTGCAATGCAAACAGCCATTTTCAAGTTATAAATGTGGAAGATTGCTGTTCTTTCTCTCCGTACATTCTAATGATCGTCGTCATCATTGTCGCCATCATGTACGCCATCATAATGTACAACACCATCCATGTTATCATCATCCAAAACAGCCATATTCTCACTGCAATCACGAATATCATGTTTATTATTGTTATCTCTTTTCATTTTAACATTTGCATCATCTTCTTCGCTTACGATCGCAACATTTACAATCGCAACATTTACAATCGCAGTCCTCTGTCGTCCATCTTCACAGTCGCTCCGACGTAATCGATGGATTTCAGTGACGTCATAAGAGCCTGCGGAAGGACTGATTGATAGTCGCCATGACAACGTTACTGATCCCTCCCACTTCGCTTCCCCCCTCATCTGATTGGACGGGTGTGACGCAGAGCGATGACGTCAGAGACGATCCGCAGCCAATCACATCCACGTCGTCTGCGAATTTTCAATTTCAAATTTGAAAAATATTTATTTTTGATACACTTTATGAAATATTTGATATGGACATTTTTTATATTTTCTTTCATATCTAAAAACAAGAAAAAAACACAAAAAAGAAAAGTACCCCCCATATTTACTTACAATATGTACATCACACGCACACACGCCACACACATACACAAACACACGAACACACACGCATTTATATATAATTTTTATTTCATAGAACACGCCCGAAGATGTTATGTGTGTTCACGTACTTGAGACCACCAAAGTAGTTATGCCAGCACAATGATTGCATTAATTATTGCTCTAAAACATGATGAAAGCAACGCGATTGATGCACGCAGCGCCATAGCAATGAAAGAGGACAATAAAACGCTAGCGTAAGAGTATATGAAGGATGGTGACGACGACTAAGACGATGATGGCGATGCTGATGATGATGATGACAATGTTTGTAATAATGGTGGTGATGATGATAGTTGCAGTGATATGATGATGATGATTATGATTAAATGTGAAGAAAAAATGTCATGCTAGCGATAATAATTGTAAGTGGCGCCATTTACCCTTACATAGCAGAATGATGATGATGAGGAGGAGGAGGAGGAGGAGGAGGAGAAGGATGATGATGATGATGATGACGATGATGTTATAATGTCACCTGCTACCATGGTAATTACATAAAGGTGGTTTTATAAATTCGCATTGCATTGAAAAGACATCAACGACGTTTCAAACGCTGCAGCATTTTTAAAATTTAGAGTAACAACTACCAGCCGCAAAAAACAAACTAATACAATTTCGAAATCTAACAACTAAATAAACGAAGAGTTGTATAACAAAAAAAAATCAACCAATCAAATCCCAGTGCAAAAATTTCAACACAACAAAGAAACAAACAACAGACCAGATTCAGAGACAAATCTTGGCGATCCGTTGCTGCTAGACTCGCTTGTGGTGTGATAGTTGTGGCTGCGATACCTCATCATCTTGTTCCCTGTTTGCCTGCTGTTGCTGCTGCCGTTCAGACTGTTCAGCAACTGCTCGTTCTCCTTCCTCAAACAATTGTGTACCATAGTTTGCTTGTCTTCTGCCTCTTTCAGTTTCTGTCACATAAATTTTTTTTTATTAAATGTTAGAAGTTTGTAAAAATAGTGGGAAAGTAAATTATAGAGGGTTTTGAATGGCGTTCGTCTGAATGATGCTTGGAAATGTTTTTCTTGCGAGCGGGTATGACATTTGACCGTTGGTGACGTACGTCTATGAGGATCAGCATTCCTTATGGTTATTACTCTAATATGCGATGACGATATTTCAGGCTTAAGGCTTTGACCCGCTGATATTTATATACGGAAATTTCAGTTTAAAAATTATTTTTCGCTAATTTTATTAACCTTAAAGATAAAATGCGAGATGATTTTTACTGCTTATACGTTGAGAGTATTTTTTTAAAAATTGCAACAATAAAATATTAATAATAGTACTTATGTTATTATTATTATTATAAATAATAATAAAGTTGCCAAAGTGTTTGCATCTTAGTGCATAACATTGTAGGAGGAAGAATAATAAAGATCAAAATGTAGTTGTTGCTAGCAACATACTATACTATCTGTCCACAATGATTATTTATTTTTAATTCCTTAATTAAACGTGATAATGTATTTATAGGACAACCTTGAGCTAATTAAATGAAATGCGAGCAATTTGGGTCACCAAGTACCAGCATGTGTGTGTGTGTGTTTGTGTGTGTGTGTGTGTGTGTGTGTGTGTGTGTGTGTGTGTGAGGTGGCCACGTTTATTCAGCGAGAGGAAAATGATATCGTGAATGATAAAAATGATATAATTCATTGATATGAATGAAATGAATGATATGATGATGATATATTATCTCTTGAATGGTAATTAAGATAGTGAAACAGATTTGCAGAACAGAGCTAAGTAAAGTGTAGAGAGATTTAATAACAATGATGATAATAACAAAAATAGAGCAACTAAATTTGATTTATACAACACATA